CACCAGTCTCACTGGCTGAACTGTAGGGTGCCAGTCGGGTCGGTGCGGAGCGGGAGAGCCTCGCCGGGTTCTCCCATGTAGATGGGCCCGTTGACAACGGCCGCGTCTTGGGTAGGTTCTTCGTCAGGCTCTTCGTTGTCCTTCGTCTCATTGTTGGACACTTATTGACTTAGGGCGATCATGTCGATGCCGCTCTCGGTTGCCGAGAACATGAAGACGGCTGCGTTGGAGTGGTCGTCCTTCCCGTCGGGCCAGTGTCCTTTGAGGTTCGGCCGGCCGTTCTCGCGGGACTTCTTGCGGCACTCGGACTGCCAGTGTCCTTACTTGCCGCAATAGTCGCAGGTGCCCTTGGCCGCGGAACGGTCGTTTCGTTCAGCTTAGCCGCTTCGGGACGCGCCACGGCCCCGGCTACGCCCACGACCACCGTTTCCTTGGGTGTCGCGTTCGAACAAGGCGCGGTCTTCGTTGGCTTGGCCGCGTGGCGTCTTGATGGCGCCGTCGGACGGCGGCCTTCCACTCAGCTTCGAGTGCGATCTTCGTCTTGGCGACGGTTTGTTCGCTATCGGGTAAGTTGGACAAGCGATCGGCGAGGTGACGGAACTCCCACAGCATCAAGGCAAGTAACTTGACCACTTGATTTGACTCCGTCTCTGCGGCTCTAACGTCTGATAGACGCTGGACAAGGATCTGGAACCGGTAGATGAAGTCCGGCAGAGTCTCTTGGCGCGGGTCCCACGACAGCTTGGCCCACTCCATTGCCACCTGGATCCGGTCGATCTTCGTTGTTTGCTTATGTTGGGCTACCAGTGCGTCGTAGGCGACGCGGACGCGTGTGTGCCCATCAATGTATCGGTACTGTCTGGGCTCCAAGGTGTCGATGAGGATCCCGAATGCCTTTTGGTCCTCGCTGCTGGCGTCCAAGGCAGTTGACGTCGGCATTTGGGTAAGTAGTTGATGCATGCCCTTCATCATGAGCTTTCCGCGAAAATAGATGTCCCATTCGCGGAAGTTGTGGTCGTTCAGCTTGAGCGTGGCGGTGATGTTCGCCATGGTACTTCTTGTTTGTAGGTG